CAATCTGATTTAGATATTGCCCATCTGGTGATTTCCATGTATAGAGTCACCTCTTGTGTTGTTGGAAAAGAGTGTTTGTGATGACCAGCTTGTTCTCTTGACAAAACTCTATTAGCCTTTGCCCTGCTTCATTCTGAACTCCAAGGCCAAACTTCCCTGTTGTACCTTTTATCTCTCGACTCCCTACTTTAGCATTCCACTCCCCTAGAATGAGAAGAACATCTTTCTTTGGTGTCAGTTCTAGAAGGTGTTGCAAATCTTCATAAAATTGTTCAATTTCAGTCTCCTCAGCAGTGGTAGTTGGTGCATAAGCTTGGATTATTGTGATGTTGAAAGGTCTGCCTTGGATTCTTATTGACATTCTATCATTTTTGAGATTGTATCCCATTACAGCTTTTCCCACTCTTTTGTTGACTATGAAGGCTACTCCATTCCTTCTACGGGATTCTTGCCCACAATAGTAGATATGATAATCATCTGAGCTGAATTCGCCCATTCCTGTCCATTTTAGTTCGCTGATGCCCAGGATGTCGATATTTATTCTTGCCATCTCCTGTTTGACCACTTCCAGCTTCCCAACGTTCATAGATTTTACATTCCAGGTTCCTATGCAGTATTTTTCTTTGCAGCATTGGACTTTCATTTCACTTCGGAGATCACTGTAATGTAAATCTCTGGCTATGTTTCGCACTTGCTCTAGTAGGAATGAGGAATCTGCATCTCCGCCCCCCTTGCCTTCCCTGGTGGCCTTTTATCTCAAAGGAGAAGGCAATGGGCTCTGCCTCCTTTGCAGCATTGGACTTTCATTTCACTTCGGAGATCACCATACTGTAAATCTCTGGCTATGTTTCGCACTTGCTCTAGTAGGAATGAGGAATCTGCATCTCCGCCCCCCTTGCCTTCCCTGGTGGCCTTTTATCTCAAAGGAGAAGGCAATGGCCCCGGCTCTGCCTCGACCAACCTCTGTCTGAAGATAAATTCTTCTGTTGACTCAAGGGAGGATAGATAGGAGTATCACAATTCTGAGTGGTAGGTCAGCAGTTCAGCTGTTTCTTCTCACCCTTTCCTTGTCGTGTTGGTAAAAACAGCAGATAATTCCAAAGGTTGTTTTCACTCCCTAAATGCTTGGCTTCAAAAGCTTCTTCAAGAGCTATTTAGAGGGAGTTAAGCATAGTTTTAAAAAAAAAAACCCTAAAACTATGTGTATATAAAAGTTAAAAGCGTTGAATAAAAACAAAAGAGCAGGAACGCGAGGGAGAGAACACTGTTGCAACACCCTACCGGAACCGGAACCGGAACCGGAACCGGCCAACCACTTTCAGATGATTAGCAGCGTCACAAATTCGGTTCCGTACTTTGGGTAGTCTGTAGATAGGAGATCTTGGCTTTGTTGGTGCTAGAGTCCTGGGTGCTTCTTAGATATCTGCTTGAGAAAGCAATCTGTGGCCCTTTGGGCTGATTTAAAGCTAAGTAACTTGGTTTCAATAGTTAGCTGGCTGGATTTTGTGACATAAGTGCTACCTCACTATTCATCATACAGTAAACTTGGTTCATTTACATACAGCTATGCATCTCCTACTCCATTTAATCTGAGACACAAAAAGATATGATAATACGAGGGAACTATTTGTATAACAAAGGAATTTTTCTGATGTTTTTTTTACTTACATTTTTTCTGTACCCTCTGGTAACTGCAGATGGTACAGTGTGGTGGACGTTTATTTTCATCGCTGGTTTTGTTATTGGTAAACTTCTGTTTTCAGCCTTGTCATCCCATTGAATTGAGAGGTGTTTTTGAAATTTGGACTGGTATACATGTTCTTATGTATAAGAGTTTCAAAGACTTTTATGTATCATATAGTACGAAGAATTCAAGATGTATATGGATGAAACTTCAGAGAGTGACCCTGGTGAAGAAGGTTAGTGTGGAATTTCTATAGTGGGGTGGGGTTGAGGGCCATTTTTTAGATTGGCCAATTGCTTGGGGGTCACACTCCCCACAGGTCATAGCCAAAGTGGAAATCTCCTGGCTACAATGAATAAGTCATAGAATCATAGAATTTTCATTGTTGGAAGAGACCTTGGAGGTTTTCTAGTCCAACCCCCTGCCCAAGGCAGACCTCATACCATCCCGGACAGATGGCTGTCCAATCTTTTCTTGAAAACCTCCAGCGATGGGGCACCCACAACATCGGGAGGCAAGCTTTTCCACTGCTTAATGGTTCTGACCGTCAGGAAATTCCTCCTTATTTCTAGGTTGGATGTCCCTCTGAGTTTCCACCCATTGGTTCTTGTCCTACCCTCAAGTGCAATGGAGAATAAATTGATGCTGTCTTCCATGTGACAACCCTTCAGATATTGGAAGACTGGTATCATGTTTCCCCTCAGTCTTCTCTTTGTTAAGCGAAACATACCTAGCCGCCTAGAGTGGTCTTAATCGACTAGATCGGCGGGATATAAATAGAATAAATAAATAAATAAATAAATAAATAGTTTGTTTAGTCATTCTTCATAGGATTTAGCCTCCAGTCCCCTTATCACCTTTGTTGCTCTTCTCTGCACCCCTTCCAGGGCCTCAGCGTCTGTTGTGTATTGTGGTGACCAGAACTGGACACAGCTCTCCAAGTGCAGCCTCACCAGTGCAGTATGGAATGATACAATCACTTCCTGTGATAGCATCTAGGACTGTGTTGGCTTTCTTGGCAGCTGCAGAACACTGCTGACTCATCCTTAGGTGGTGGTCCACCAGGACACCTAAATCCCTCTCACAAGTACTACTGTCGAGCCAGATACCACCTATCCTGTACCTGTGCATCTGGTTTCTCCTTCCAAAGTGCAGGTCCTTACTTTTCCTGCCACTGAACTGCATCTTATTGGATAGGGCTCAATGTTTCAAGTCTGTCTAGATCCTTCTGAAT